TTTTACTGACAGAGGACCGAAGTATCCAACACCTGCCACCTCACCTGTGTCCTTCAGCTGGAACTGAGTGTTCATGAACACTACAGAGATCTGACAAACAGCATCTCCAGCCTGCAGCAGCTGTGCGGTCTTCATCCGTACCATCCGTGGTACTGGCTGAATCTGGCCTTGAGCTTTCAGAGGCTCCTGGAGTCTCCTCTCTGTCCAGAGAGATCCAGCACTGAGGAAGAACACAACAAGCAGCAGGGGACAAATAACATTATACGACTAAAGACCATCATGTGCTTGATTAGAGCAAGGTATGTCAGCCACAACAGAACTAGATGTTTATTTACTGGCTTTGATGTTAACGGAAGAACTCAGCACCAGGTTTGTTCATCTTGCTTATTTGTTTCCTTTTTTTCAGGTTGTTAATTGAAATCCTGCGGATTCAGCAGTTCTCATTTGTGCTGGAGAACAGCCAGAGGGCTCTACAGGACATTGAGGAAACTCTACATGTTCTGCAGCCAACAGAAAAAATGCTTCAGACAGTCTCAGAGGTCAGACAATAAGAACTACTTTAAGAGAGAGAAAAAAACAGTACGAGTATATATATATATATATATATACATACATACACACACACTAGGGCTGCACAATTAATCGAATGCGATTGTCATGCGCATTTTGATAGTAATGCCGGTTCTGTAATCAGCATGAAATCATCATCACGTGCTTTCAGATGGAGCAGAATTTACTACACACAGCCGTAGTTCACTGACAAGTTATGCAAAAAAAATCGCATACGATTTTATTGCGCGATTCTGAAATCGTTTACGATAGTGACAGCTGTTTGCATAGCTTCTCAGTGAACTACGGCACTGTGAAGTAAATGCTGCTCCATCTGAAAGCATGTGAAAATACCACATTTAATAACATATTTACTCCAAACTCACTTCATAACGTGAGTCGAGTGTTTGAAATAAATCCTTCTGTGAGATGATGTGGCTTCTAACACAGAATAAGGCACGCGACATATTTCATAGTATTTAAGCAGTGATAAAGGCATTGCATTATAAATATACTTTATTTTAATGAAAATTATAATAATAAGAACACCGATAAACCGTATATTGCCGTAGTCGTGTGTTTATTAGTCACGTTGAATCAATGAAAGCAGTTGAATCTTCTGTTTATTCAGCTGCAGCATTTTCTGGGTTTCTTTTGCGAGGCGTATTTGGAGTTTCAGCGCGAGAGCGCCCGCTGGCCTTTGGATGGAGATTTACTGCTGATCACAGAACCATGCTTCACTAAAAGATACGCATGACAATCACAGCTTCTGTCGAATCGCCATCTCGATTCCATTTCGATTTATCGTGCAGCCCTAATATACACACACACAGTAGTTGTTTATTATTCAATTATTTAATTAAGAAAACAATATACTGTATGTCGGATTTTAAGGAAGTGGGGTCATTGTATTTAGGGGTCCTTGGCATCAAAACATTTAATAACCCCAGACTTAGGCCCAATCCCAGTTCTACCCCTTAGCCCTTCCCCTACCTCTCCGTTTCGCGCATTCACTTGAAGGGGTGTCTCAATTCTCTTGGCTGGAGGGGGAGGGGTAGGGGAAGGGCCAGACAGCCCTTCAAATAAGTCATGCCAATAAGCTCATTTGAATTTGAATTTGAGAGAGAGAGAGAAATATTAGAATCAGTAATTGAGCCCATTGCCCTCTCTGGCAGTGAGGTGTGGGGTCCACTGACAAATCCAAATCAAGATTTCACCAAATGGGAAAAACATCCGATTGAGACCCTGCATGCAGAACTCTGTAAAAAATATATTACATGTGCACCGGCACACAACAAATAACGCATGCAGGGCAGAATTAGGCAAATATCCTCTAATCATAAAGATACAAAAAAGGGCAATTAAATTCTGGAAACATCTGAAGCTCCGTGACCCCCAATCATATCATTATAAAGCCCTGCAAGACCAAGAGATGAGCAAAGAAAGCAAGCCCCTCCCTCAGCTGATCCAGAGCTTCAGTCCTGAAGCTTCACTAACATCTACATTTTTATTTGTAGTTTAGATACTTATACATTAGTAATTCATTTTGCACTACCAAAAACTTGAACCAGACCTCAACCAGCCCCAAACAAAAACAAAGAGAAAACTAGAAGATTTAAAGAAAACAATACAAAATTACCAAAACCCACTCGACATGATTATAACAACATCAGAAATAACAGAGCACATTAAAAATCTCAAATTAAAGAAGGCATGTGGACAAGACAACATCAGCAATGAAATGCTCAAAATCAGCAGCCCTTACATAATTCAAGCTCTGGCGAAATTATTAATCTGATTTTATCGTCTGGTGACTTCCCTGAGGCCTGGTCTGAAGGACTGATCATACCTATATACAAAACAGGAGATAAATTCCCAGTAATTACCGCGGCATTAGTGTGGGCAGTAACCTAGCTAAGCTTTTCTGCAATATAATAAACAGCCGCATAGTGACATTCCTCACAAGACACAACATCCTAAATAAATCACAGATTGGCTTTTTACCAAAACAACATACATTCGACCACATCTATTCTCTCCATACTCTAGTCAACAAAAATCTAAAGGGCAAACAAAGAAAAATATTAACATGTTTTATTGATTTAAAAAAAGCTTTCGACTCTATTTGGCATGTTGCCTGCTGTATGCAGACGACCTGGTGCTGATGTCCCCCACAGCTGAGGGTCTCCAGCACAGCCTGGCCCTGCTGGAACAGTACTGTGAGGAATGGGCACTGACGGTCAACCTGGACAAAACCAGGGTCATGGTGTTCCAGAAGAAGGCCAGGTCTCAGAGAAACAGATACCAGTTCAGTTACAGAGGAGAAGTCCTAGAGCACAGCAGCAGCTACACTTACCTGGGCATCGAGATCTCCGCATCAGGGGGCTTCAGTCTGGCTGTGAAGGCCTTGAATGAATTTTGCCATAAAATCACGGTCTGGCCAATTAAAACATGGATTAAATTATATCACGCAATCATTAAACCAATTCTGCTGTACGGGAGTGAAATCTGGGGACCAGTAATACATTTTAAGAATTGGTATAACATTTCAATAGAAAAACTACAACTAGAAATGATCAAAAACGTTTTAGCGGTCCATAGAGGTATGTCCAATGATGCCTGCAGAGCTGAATTAGGCTTCTACCCACTGAAGATTGAGATCCAGAAGAGATGTGTTCAGTTCTGGCATCACCTCCATCAATCTGATCCTGATTCAATCTGATATAAAGCCCTCCTCGCCAGTGAAAATCATTTACTGAACTTAGTGATACTGAGAAAATGCCCTTTTTACTTGAAGATGACAACACAGCTGTACTAGCTGCTAAATATGTATTAACCATTCACAATGTTAAATGTTAAACATGATTAACTCGATACTGACTTTATCTTTTCATTTATTTAGATGGATTATATTTATTATTTGTTATGTTGTTGTTATATACTGTTTATGTTAATGCTTTGGCAACATTGTGTTACACAGTCATGCTAATAAAGCTTAATTGAATTGAGAGAGAGAGATGAAAGTTGCGTGTATGCGCGTTTCTCTTTTCAGAGTGCGTTTACTTAAAAAAAACTGCGGTATTTATCCTCTCGTTTCTGGAAAATATAATGTAGCGATTCAGTATTTAAACTGTTATTAATAAAAGTCGTGAGGCAGCGTTGACCAGTTTCTTTTCTCCTGGATGTGTGAGCTGTGCGATCTCCGATATATAAATATATATAATATGTGTCAGTAAGCAGCGCATTAATATAGAACGGTAATTAAATGCTCTAATGCACACACCAGTATAGGTGTGTGTATTGTAGTAGCTAGACGACGTGTGACGTATAGTAGTGGTGTCCCAATTCTTAGGGGAATATTTTCACCCCTACCCCTTGACACTGTTTCAATGGACAAGGGGAAGGGGTAGGCGTAGGGGAAGGGGTATAAAATAGAATTGGGATTGGGCCTTGGACTACTACCACAAATCCACCGTTATTGATGTCTTTCAATTGATAATTGTTTGTGCAATCAGTATTTAAAGGAATACTTCACCCAAAATTGACAATTCTGTAACTATTTACTCACCCTAATGTCATCACAAACTCAGAAGACATGTAATGTAGTGCCTGAACACATAGAAAATCATACAGGTTTGAAACAACAAGAGGGTGGAAAAATAATGACATAACTTTAATTTTTGGATTGAGTATTTGTGCCGTGGGAACGGAGCAAGGCCGGTGGAGTAAATGCTAATGCACGACACCTGCACCACTCTCGAGTCCCACGGAGGAGCTCCGGAAGGATAAAAGGAGGACTGACGACAGTGTTGGACGAGAGAGAACCAGGCCTGGACTTTATTTTGTGTTTGTTTATTTTATTAAAGTTTTCTTTAAATGTTTGCCGGTTCCCGCCGCCTCCTTCCCGTGACTACGAGCTGTGTTACAGTATTCCATTGCAGTGTTTTCTAAAGTCACTACTTCAATGTGATTTCAACCCATTGTTTTGCATCAAAAAAGTTAGTTCTCTAAATGTATACATAACAGAATTGCACATCTCTCACACAACTCCCCAAAACATCTGTAATGAACATCCATGGTCTCACATTAGAAACTGATTTCATTTATTCTGATCTAGGTGATGGCAGAAGACCTCAATCCAGAGAAGATGAGAGAGGAAAACCAAGATGGAGAGAGTTTATCAGGACTTTATATTAAAGACTTTGATGACAGGTGGTGGAACAAACTCCACACCAAACTGCAGGAGGAGACTCCAGCTTTATCCACGCACAGACCTCTGCAGGAGACATTTGAATAGGCCTAATATGAATATTGATTGTATTTTTATAATTGAATGTATCTTTTATTGGAGTTACATGCTTTTACCATTACAAAGCAGAATAAAGTTAAAGGTTTTAAAATACATAAATTTCTACATCTACCAATACAATCTACCCACCACCAGTGTCTAATAAAGCATTACAATAACCTGCTCTAGCACCAATGGGAAGTTGCAGGAACACCTCTGTTGATGTGATTGCCCTGTTTTGGACGCCAAGTTTGGCTCTTCGTATTGAAATCTGGGGACTGACGAGCAATGGGATGATGGATCGTGTTCCTCCGTGGAAGCCATTGAGATATTTGCGGTCCAGTGGTGACGTTTGGATAGCTGGTTTGTCTGGCCAGGACTTGAGTTGTTGGGAAACTCGGGTTCCTGGGCTGACGAGGTTTCTGTTGTAGGTGGTCGGGAGTGTTTCCAGCAGTTACGGCCGGGCCCATCGGGATCTGGAGTTTCTCAATGGGTAGGCAGAGATCACCAGGATCTGATGTGTGGCAGGTAAATCCTGGGACTGGTTTAGAAGTGGCATAGAGTCTGTGAAACTCCAGGTCGAAAGGTTTAACCCCGCTGCCTTTGAAGAGTATGGCCAAGCTTCTGTGAACCTGCCAGGATAGCCAGGTGAGACTATGACAAAGTAAAAGTGTCATCAGTGAAAAACACTCAAACGTGAGACTTAGTAAAAGGTGAAGTTTCTGCATAAATAGCAATCGATGGAAATGCATTGGCTCAACCAGCAGTGTGAGTTTGGGGAGGGCTTCCATGCTACAATGGAAGATGGGAGTGTTTGAAATTTGTCTGAAAACAGCATTCTTTTTGCAATTACTGCTGTGAATGGAGAGTAAAGAGCTGCTACTTGAAATAAACTAATTATCTATTTTTTTTAACAACACAATTTTAGATAAAATTTATATAAATGTATTTGCTAAATGTGTGTTTTTAGATGCTACAATTGACGATTTTTTAAAAATGCATTTCCAAAAGTAAATTTCCCCTGCAGATGGTAACTCCAGTCAGCCACAGGCCAGCCGTAATCAAGAAGTGGAGGCTCACTCTCTGTGACCGCAGGAAAGTATGTCTCAGAAGAAACTGATGGAGAACTGGAAATCCCTTCATCACGGTCTGCCTCTTCACGGTCAGTGAGAGGCTTTTTAATGTTGTTTAAGATGTACGTTTTCTCCTGCGCTGACAGAAAGTTTGCTTCATTCTCTTTGATCAGCACTTCCTGGTATCCATCAGTCCCTCTGTCCAAGAGAGCATCCATAGCCAGTCGTGTGCTCTCGTTGTGACTCAGATCCACTGAAGACACCATAGCATTTGGGTTTCTCATCTCCCGAACTCTTCTTTTAATTTTTCCCATCAGCTTTGGCATCAAGTAACACTGCACTGACAATCCATTACTTACAAGGTTCATGTTGTTTGCATACAAGTCTTCAGCTGACAGATGACTGGTTGACTCTTGCTCATTCAGCTTACATTTTTAGTCGTCTTTCACGCTTAAGGCCAAACGGTTATCCCTACAAACACCGTGTGGTACTACAGCCAATGTCCCCAAGGTGATCATCAAATGTTCACAAATAATGCTGCGAGATGTTCATGCACGGTGCGTCTTTTCATCAGCAGTGCAGGCATTTCACGGCACACTGAGCATTTTCTGGACCAATCTGTCATGCTTTCATGATGGGTGAGTTTAAAATTGAATGTTAGTGCTGCCCTATGGCTTTGAGGAAAGTGATTTGTGGCTCCTCCCTGGACAAAGCGGAGTAACTAACGTTCACAGATGGCTTCACCCAGAGGCACTGGAGGGTGGGGTCGTGTGAATAATTAGACTGCAGCTCCCATGTTTTCCATCACAGAAATTAAATGGTGTGAGTGGCACGGATGAAGATACGGTCGTCAGATTCACTTCACCCATGCTTCACTAGGAACCAATAGACCGGTTCCTGTTTCCTGACACACCTGCTTAAATGTAAATTCTTACGGGCTTTGCAGATCGAATACTTGTTGTAGATGAAAGTGAAAATCTGATAAGTCGTACTAAACTACAAACCCTAAGTATAAACTTCAGCATACATTTTCCCACACAATTTGTGCTACATTTTACATCAAACCATGTGGCTTATTGAAGAAAGGACCGAATATCATAGAGACTTGATTTGGGCCAACATACAACCACTAAGCAACCATCCAAAACACCGTAGCAACCACATACATTAGCAACTCACTAAAACACTCTGAATGCCTCAGTGACTGCACAGCAACACTCTAGCAACCCTAACAATGTGGTGGCAGGTTTTGCACGGGCAAACACCACTTATCACATCACAAAATGTAAATATCAATATCAAAATTATTGGCTTATTTTTCAACCAAATTAATCATGAACAGAAAAGAAAAAATACAACATTATCATATCTTGCAAAAGGTTACAATATTTAGACCTTCGCCCAATTGCATGAAATATTGCATGTTTTGCAAATACGGTGGCACGCAAGAATTAATTCTAAAGAAAAAAATCTAAATGGGTGAATGTATATTCACATTATGTCTGAACAAAAGAATTCAGGAAGATATGGGTAGCCTGAAAATTAAAAAAAAGTGACAAATAATAATAAACATCACGTACAAAAAAGGCTTTAGTCACTAGCTAATACACTGCATCTGACTAGAGTGGTTCTCATATAGGGATGAACTATATTTGGAGAGTGAGTTAAACAAACAGAAATCCCTCCCTAATAAAATATGCTTGAGTATGAGAATATACCCTTTTTTAATTATTTACATAAATTTGCAAGAATCTGATCTTTTCCAGAATACATCTCCGTCCAGTTGCTTTGCTGCGTATCTGGCAAGAGCAACTCTCTGATGACTCGGAAAGGCTGCATTCATCGTCTCCTTCAGCTTGGGTAAATCCAAGGTTTCTGGATGATGAGCAGACACCAGAAAAAAGCTCTGCTGGAGACCCAGTTTACCCAAGACTTCCTCAGTCCATTGCCTCAACTCTACAATGGATTTTTCCTCAATCAAGTCTGCCATGGAAAGCACCAGGTAACATTCTTTCCCTAGGGAGGATGCTTGCTGCAGCAACTGTATGGCTCCCAACCTAAGCCTCAAAGGAGACACCAGTATGTATACATCACACAAAGAGAGTGCAGATGTTATGCGTTGAGATTCAGAAGAGCTGGAAGCACAAGACAGGCTGCCAAGATCACTTATTTTTCCAATCCCAGGAAGGTCCCAAAGACAGACGTTGGGGGAGGGATAGGGATACTTCACAGCCTCTTTGGTTATTTCAATAACACCGGTTGAGGCAGCTCGTTCATCACCATTCTCCAGGCCCAAGAGGGCATTGACCAAGCTGGAGCTGCCACAGCCCGTCTCACCCAGCACACCGATATCCAGCCGGAAGTGATCAAGAGCGGCAAGGATGGCCTGAAGCTTGGAAGGATTGTCAGTGAGATCTCTCGGCTGCGAGAGCTTGGTGATCTGATCAAGATCATCCTGGTTTATCTTCCTCGACCTTAAAGCAGTTGAGACCACAAACCTGAGAAGCAAATGTAGCCAATTTGTTAGATAAATGTAGATGCTGTAAGAAAATATAAGGTCTGCCCTGACCCAGATTCAATGCCATAAAGCTTCATGAACAATGGATTTTCATGCTATTTCATACTGTTTTTATGCCAGTTAGTGCTTGTTAACAACAAAACTAAGCTAGTGGATCAACATAGACTTCCTAATGAGCAAAATAACTAGCTAGTTAAGCAAGTTAATCAGCCTAGTAAGGACACAAGCACACCGGCATCCCAAATTGTGGACCAATGTCCAAAACACAACATGGTTTCCAGCAACTGAACACTGAGTTAAGCATGCTTCTGGGTCCACATCCTTGTTGGTCCTAGAATATTACTAACAACCAATCAGATTTTATGGTTAGGGCTAACATTAGGGTTAGGGGATTTCTTATCAACCTAAAGTATCTTTTCCCGCTAGTATAAGGGTTAGGTCAGGGGTGTCCAATCCTGCTTTTGGAAGGACACTGTCCTGCAGAATTTAGTCTCCATCGTAACTAAACACAAATAAACCAGCTAATCAAGGTCTTCAAGACCTCTACTAGAAACATTCAGGCAGATGTATTGTAGCAGGTTGGAACTAATCTCTACAGGACATTGGCCAGAAGCAGGACTGACAACCCCGGGTTAGGTTTGGATTAATGGTAGGGATTGGATTAGAATTTAGGATTGTTGTTCCATTGAACACCATTATTATCAGCCCACCTTTTGCCTCTAGTTTAAGGGTTAGGTTATTTTAAGTTTGGGTTTGGATTAGGGGTAGGGATTGGGTTAGAACTTTTTTTTTGACACGATTGCTCTTCCAGGACCAATGAACATGTTGACCCCAGGACATGTGTAACCAGCAATGGCTGTTATTTCAGTAAGGTTCAAATGGAAATCAAGTTTGAGTAATATCAAACATTTCAAAACACAAAGAAGCTGACTTACTGTGTGTCACCAGACAGTAATTTAGGAATCCGAAGTTCCTTTGTAATCACCACCAGAAACTGACTAAAAGCCTTCTTCCGAAGCTCAGGCAGGGCTTCAGCAAGCACCTTGGTGACATCCTTCATCTTCACAAACTCTGGAACTTGGGATGCGTTTGAAGCATTCTTGCTGTCTGCTTCTGAATCGGCCGTCTCTCCAAATACTTCCTTACTTCTCTTTTGCAACTCCAGTTTGCGAGTTCTCATTCGTTCCCAGGCACAGGTCATGCACGGCCCTGTAGGCTTCTCCTTGACCACGTCCCAGTCCCGCTCAGCTTGAACCAGAAAAAAATCCTGATCTCTGCCATGCAATTCCATTTTGAGCCACATGTGGTCCTCCTTGTGCCGTTCTGTAGTGAGAACCACTAGAACATCATAGCATGTGGAGTCATACTGCTGGTTGGTCTGGTTAATAATGGAATTTGAGGTTGGATGGCCCTGCACAGTCCACACACGAACATTTGGGATTTGACGGTGTAAAATCACAGAGTCAAAATCAGGAATGCCTCTCCCTATATATTCTGCATGCTCTGCTATTCGAACACGTTTCGTCCTGCTGCTGCTCTGGTGATTAGTATTTAACTTAGACTTTATACTAGGTTCCTCATCTGCACTTTCATCTTCCTCCCAGTCTTCTGCTTCTTCTTCCTCATCTGTTTCTTCCTCCTCATCACCAGCTTCCCATTCCTCCTCTTCAATTTCCTCACTTGGCCCACAGATTGCAGAAGCCAGCTGAGCATTAGCCTCCGGTGTTCCTCCAGTCACAGCTATGTCTAAAGGGAAACGCTCAAACAGTTGTAGAGCCGTCACCAGCCTGTTTTCAAATCCAGGTGCCCTGAGGGAAAACCTCCAAGGGGCGAGCATACATTTTAATTTTTCATCTGAAAGTTTTTGTTCCATCTTCAATTGTACCTTGAAACAAACAAAAAAACATTTCATAATACAGCTTACACTAGCTACACTGTGTACCTACTGCTAACACCAATGGTATACAGGCCTAATGATTGAATTTGACAAACAGTGTTCACAGATAAAATATGGTCAACAGAACACAATACAATAAATCAATGCTCACCTGCTCTCGAGCAACAATAAGCTGCAAAAGTGCGTCCTCCGTCCTTAAGTCCTCCTGGATGAGTGTGTTTGCGGGACAGTCAGCTGTGCTAAAATCAACACTTTGTTTGACAAGGTTTCTAGATGACATTGTAAACAGTTCTCAGGGCGTTTAAGTTTGTTAAAGCATCATGGTGTACTTAATTCCATTTAACCCATTTTTTCCCACCGGGGTTTTTTTTTTTTTTTAATAGTTTTTAATAACATTTGTGAAATTCGGAATTTTGAAAAGTTTCAGGAGAGGTAGAATTCACATCCACACCACAGATTTTCAAGTCTTTATAACTCTACACATGTTATTTCACCACCAGTGTTGCCAAGTCCGCGGTTTTCCTGCGGAATTGGGCTACTTTAACATTGTTGCTGCGGGTTGTTTTTCATGTCCGCGGGTTGAAGCGACTCCAATAACATGATATTTATCCCCTGGAATGCGAATTTTAGTTGGGGAACCCAGCCAAAAAACATGTATTTTACCCCCGGAATGCGATTTTTAACTGGGGACCCCCTCAAAACGCGATTGGGCTAGTTTTGGGCTAGTTTTCAGTAGCCATTGGGCGGGGTTTCTTGTGAAAACCTGGCAACCCTGTTCACCACCAAAGATAAATAATAACAATACATTTTTTTGAAATTGTGAGTGATGCTTGTCCATGCAAAGATTCCCACCATATGTACGTTTTTTAATTGTTAAGCTGATAATAAGGTGTTTTGAGTATTTTTAGTATGATGCTATGTGGTTGCTAGGAATTTCTGGATGGTTGCTTACTGGCCCAATTCAAACAAGATCATTATCAAGTCTTAATTGTGCTTTGGTTCATTGGATGACTTGGATTTGTTCAACACTAAGTATTAGAAATAGTTACAGTGATGCTTACCTTAGTCAGTACTACTACTAATAAGGAAAATGTTGTGGCATTTATGAATTCACCTTATATGCTGTTGTATATGGTGTGATGCTCCAGCCGAGGTCAGCATTTCTCCCTGAGCACAAGACCAACAGGTACATTTAGATGTCATACAAAAACAGTACTCCAAGGTAAGGATTTTAATTTAAAAAGCCTTTATAAATATTTTAAAAATATATTCAATACAATAAATGAAGCCACATCAGTATTTGATTTCTACAGACATGACTTAAAGGTTTTTTAAATATAAATCCTACTTTGAGTGGCTTGGACTACTATTTGTATACAGGTGCATCTCAATAAATTAGAATGTCGTGGAAAAGTTCATTTATTTCAGTAATTCAACTCAAATTGTGAAACGCATGTATTAAATAAATTCAGTGCACACAGACTGAAGTAGTTTAAGTCTTTGGTTCTTTTAATTGTCCTCCTTGGGAAGAGTGTCAATGATTGTCTTCTGGACAACTGTCAGATCAGCAGACTTCCCCATGATTGTGTAGCCTAGTGAACCAAACAGAGACCATTTTGAAGGCTCAGGAAACCTTTGCAGGTGTTTTGAGTTGATTAGCTGATTGGCATGTCACCATATTCTAATGTGTTGAGATAGTGAATTGGTGGGTTTTTGTTAAATGTGAGCCAAAATCATCACAATTAAAAGAACCAAAGACTTAAACTACTTCAGTCTGTGTGCACTGAATTTATTTAATACTCGAGTTTCACAATTTGAGTTTTGACTTTTCCACGACATTCTAATTTATTGAGATGCACCTGTACATTGTTCACACTGTAAATTGAAATGTTTTTGAAATAGCAATGGCAACTGTCACCGTTTTCCTTAATATAGACACTCCTAGATTCATTTAGTAATCATTTCAATAAAATGTCATCTGGATTAACTGAAAGTACTTGGTGGTAAAAACACAGGGAGTGAAGTTGCCCATCCCATCTCATGTGGCCTGTATAACAAAAAAAAACACACGACAAACAGGTTTGACGTCGTGAAAGTGTCCACAAAAGTAAATGAACCGAATACAGACAGGTAGAGGTAAAGCAGGTGCAGTCTCAGACTGGAACAGGTGGGTCCGTGAGCAGCTACTTTTTTCTATTTTTAACAGCATATTAGTCCACTTTGATTTGCTTATGTGTTTGGTTTTGGATTTATTATCTTTATAATCTATACTGTATTTTAAATATACACTGTTATACTGTTTTTAAAAAAATTCTCAGTGACCACAGATCAGACCGTTACCTTATAAATAATCTTGAGTATTTTTCTTCAGGAAAGTGTGACGAGGCCAGACAGAAAAACACACTACAGCCATGGGTGCAGGAGCCTTGACATGTTTGATGTTTGTAGTTATTGCTCTGAATGCAATCGCTGCTGTAAGTCTGAAACAGAATAATACAAAGATTATGTTTCTGTTGTAAAGGCCTGGTTTCACCAGAATTAGGCCATAGTTCAATTAGGACATTTAAGTAATTTTTATGAATGTTATTTAAAAGAAAAAAAAACATTACTGGTGTGCATCTGGACAAAACAAGGGCACTGACATATGTGACCCTGGACCACAAAACCAGTCACAAGGGTAAATTTTTTTGAAATTGAGAGTCATTTAATAAGCTTTCCATTGATGTATGGTTTGTTAGGACAGGACAATATTTGGCCGAGATACAACTATTTGAACATCTGGAATCTGAGGGTGCAAAAAAATCTAAATACTGAGAAAATCGCCTTTAAATTTGTCCAAATTAAGTTCTTAGCAATGCATACTACTAATCAAAAATTAAGTGTTGATATATTTACAGTAGGAAATTTACAAAATATCTTCATGGAACATCTTTACTTAATATCCTAATGATTTTTGGCATAAAAGAAAATACAATGTATTTTTGGCTATTGCTAAAAATATACCCCAGCGGCTTAAGACTGGTTTTGTGGTCCAGGGTCACATTTTAAGATCAGTCAGTGCAAGTTTCTTTCAGCTGAAACAGCTCAGACTTATATTTTAGCCTGGGACTAGGTTTAAGCCTCGTCTGTGAAACAAGGGTAAAATGTCATATGTTTGTGTTTAATCAGCTCAAATATCCAAGTTGTCACTTAGTACTTTTTTTTTAATGTATTTTCCCCTTCAGGCTGCAGGACTGGCATTATTCGCAGTGGGCATTTGGGTAGCAGCAGACGGGTATAAACTTTACCCCATATCTGGTGTGTCGGGGAAAGATGATATCTTTGCTGCAGCCTGGATTGCCATTTTTACAGGCTTTGCCTTCTTCCTCACATGCATCTTTGGCATCTTTGCTGCCCTGAAAAGAAGCCGTGGATTCATGATGGTGGTAGGTTTTCATAGAAGACAGCAATCCTAATACCTTCCATAATTACATTAATCACAATTATTCAATATCACCTTCAGTGAGACAATTGAAATGTCGAAATTAATTTTAACTGATTATCTTTAACTGTCATCCTTCCTCAGTACCTTATCATAATGTTCATCATCTTTCTGTTTGAATGCGCATCCGCCATCACAGCAGCGACCAACCGGGATTATGTGAGTACAGTCACCAGCCACTCTGTACTGTATTCCTGCTCTCTCTTCCTAAAGTTTTCTGTTGTTTGTACTCTGTCCTGTAAATTACAGTCTAAAATGTCATAATCATATGTAATGGAACAACAGCAGACTTATAATGGAGATAAAGTTAGCCTTTTCTTTATTTTTAAAATCCTCTTTCCTTTATTATAGCTGGTTGGGAACAGTAACTTTGTAAAGAAACAGATGCTGCAATACTATGCGGACAGCAGCACACAAGGAAAGCAGATTACACAGACATGGAACAGAGTGATGGAACAGGTAAACAGAACACCAATGATGACCTCTTGGCTTTTAACGAACACAACTACCTTACACCTGTCCAAGGATCATGGTTAAAAAAAAACCACACACACACATTTAGATAATATTAGGAAAGAAAAACCTTAATTTTCAGCTCAGACCTGATACAACATGCCTTTCTGTTGCCTTGTGAGAGTGGACAAACCAGTTTGTCCTCACATAAACCGCTGAGAATAACTGTTGCAACAGATTGATCATATATCTTCTTGATGGGTTGCTGGCTTCATATAAATAGTAAGACTTGAGATGTACTGAATTTCAGTGATTTTACCACAAGTAATGGATGCAGAGGGAATCAAGGTTGTTTTTAACCACCATATCCATGGTAAAAATTGCTGCTTATTGCGTCAAGAAACAAAATGATTAATAATAATAAAAAAACATTTTTAAATGGAAACAGCGAGGGGAAATCTATCACCCTCACATAAAATTACAGATTTATGTTGTCGATTAATTTACTGGATTCCGGCCGTGAAAACTCGTCAAACAACAGTAAATGTCACCACATGTTTATTCTTCGAATTTTATGCTTACAAACACTCTACAAAACATGCTGGGTTGTTTCAACCCAACTTTGGGTGAAATATGGACTAACCCAGCTGCTGGGTAAATTTTTTAATTAAAATTTTAACCCAAAAGTTGGGTTAGTCCATATTTGACCCAAAGTTGGGTTGAAACAACCCAGCATTTTTTTTAAAGAGTAAAGCAGCACAGTTTGATGGATTCATATAGAATTCTGCAAGTAAAGTGCATTTTTGTTTTCTAAGCAACACAACTTGATTGATTAATATATATAAACCAGTCTAAAAAATGCTGGGTTGTTTCAACCCACCTTTGGGCCAAATATGGACTTAACCCAGCTGTTGGGTTAATTTTTTTAAATAAAAGTTTAACCCAAAAGATGGTTAGTCCATATTTGACCCAAAGTTGGGTTGAAACAACCCAGCATTTTTAGTGTAGAATTCAGCTGATGTACATTTTTCTCTTGATTGTACTGAGATTGATTAATCCCACCTTCTCCTCCATCAGGTCGAGTGCTGTGGAGCAGACGGTCCGGCAGACTGGTTTCAGTATAACTCCACCTTTAAACAGACATTCAATTCTACATACATCTGGCCCCTCAGCTGCTGCAAGAGACTGAGTACCTTTGAGGTGGAAGATAAAGAAGGCTGTAAGGTTGGCAAGGCCACCACCATATTCTCAAAGGTAACGATTAAGTCTCGTAACATGTCACCTGATATACAGAATACAACAGACAGCAACAAACTAATGCAGTAAACCTGCATTACTTGCAGGAAATAAAGCAGTTGGTTGGAAATAAAGGAAGGAAATAAAGCAGTTAGTTGTCAGACAGTGGTTCTCAACTGGTGTCACAACACAAAGTGGTCTGTTCTGATTGAGATAATTTGAATGCAAATAATTTAAATTCAAATAATTTCAACTAATTCTGACAGTAAAATAAACAGGCATATATACATTTTTCTCATTCACATAAATAATTCTGCATGATGTTGGGGCTATTCAGGTCAGGGCCAGATTGATAAATTTCTTTCTTTTCTTTTTTTTTTTAAATATATTTTTCTCTATGACGATTTACAAATTATAAAATTGTTTCCTGAGAACCACTGTGCAGTGATACAACTTTATATATGATTCAATTTAGATGCGTCACTTTGCATGTTACTTCATGGTGCTTCTGTCAATTTTTTGTTGTATTGTTTTGATACTTCAGGGTTGCTTCCAGTACATTGAATCTGTGTTAAGCCGTTACACCTGGGCTGTGAGCTGGTACGGTTTCTCTGTTCTCATATTAGTGGTAAGTAATATAATCTAAATGTTTTCTAAATTACCTGCTTCAAACCGCTTTAAAAGCTTGCAATAAAAAAACCCTGTCACACCACAAAATGCTGAAAATCAGAATTTATGCAAAAATCAAAGATGTAGTGTGATGCATGTGTAAATACACCAACAACCAAAAATAGCACAGAGGGAATGCAAGAATGTGTCCTGATTACAAAATGTTTCACTGTGGATTATACTAGGGACACTAATGTTCAATGATATGAAAATAAAACAATATGTTGATTTTAAAGCTAATTTTTATATGTATTTATATTAATATTTATAAGTATTAAAATGTTTCTATGAACTAGATAAATTAAAGTTCTATTATATAAGAACAATTCAATTGCACATCCATAGAGATTCACTATTCTGATGCACTTCTGTCCTACAGTTTCTCACATTAGTGATCGCCATGATCTACTATATGCAGCTGGAATAACTACGGACTCAGCATGATACATCTGCCAGCTGCACAGATGCTTCCACTCTTGCGGCCACCGAATATTACAGATGATTGATTGCACATGGATAATTGATATGACAGGTTTCATGAATTCTTGTATAATTATCATACATTCGGATTTCATGACATCCTATAATTTGACTTCCATTTAGCACAAAAGGAAAGTTCCAGGTTCAATACAAGTTAATCTTAAAAAAAACAAAAAACATTTATGGAATAATGAAGTGCAATAATGCTCAAAGTTAAAAACTTGAGAAATAACTAGTGAGCAGTGAGCATCATCTCATTATGTTGGGGGAAAAAAGTTATTTGTAAGCTACCAAATTAACATGCCTAAGTGACTAATCCAAATATAGCTTTCATTTAACGTTTTATTATGGATGTGTTTTTTTTTCTGGGGTCATTTTAAACTTTTATTTACAATATTTATCAGATAGGTTCTTCCAAGTGATTGTATGAATTTTTCTTTATGCCACAGTCTACGCTTGTATTTCTTACATGAATATTTAATATAAAAATTGCTCTAAAATGCCTAAATATCAATGAATAGGACATTTGTTTTGTAAGATTCTTTGCAGCATCTTTTTTTATAACTTACTTGACAAATGTTTGTTTATCAAATAAACATTTGACTGTGCTGATGATGTGTCATCATGTGTCATCGACTGACCGCAGATGGAAAAAGGCGAGCGATCGCAGCAAAATCTGTGGCTGAGGCTGTATGCAGGTACATGCCCTGGGGAATAAACAATATTTAAGAAAGCAAGAACAAAAAGACAACAAAAGCCTGGCAGCTCTACACTCCCTGAACCACCCAAACCGTTACTGCTCAGGATAATTATCTAATGCCAATAGTTTGTCAATGTATCAGCAGAGAACAGAGGAGGGCATGTTTGCTTGCGTATGTCAGCTTTAATTTATACTCAACTGGGTGTCACCCGATACTCGGAAACAGACTGGTTTTGCAGGATGCCCAGTCAGGAAAGACCTCAACTTTTCTCATGCTCCCATCTCGGAGGGTGGAGACTGCAGCGCTGCAAGCCCTGTGAATTAAAATCATCTCAAAATAAAACAAAACCTAGAAACAACACTTCTTTTAATAGCAAATGCAAACATTCAGTCTCAGGATATTCATCCAGGTTTGCCTCATCAACAGGAAGGTTATTTAGTCTCATGGTTAAATGCCATCACAATGTTACTTATCAAGGTTAATTTGAAAACTTTTTTTTAGAACTTTTAAAACTTCTTCCTGCATTCTGATTTTCTGTAATACTTATAAAAAAAAAACACCCATCATTAGACCATCTCATCTGACCTGTGTACAAAAATATGTTCAAAAATAATCACCAAACTACAGGTTTCGTCACTGACAGGGTCCAAGATTTTAATTCACATATTTGAAAATATTACAAAATAGGATGAACTGCCTTTCGCCAAGTGCTAAAGGCTGAAGGGGAGATTGTTGGACATGTATATACCCTCAAAGCCACATGCATGACCTTTCTCACTGGAACGTACACGCTCACAGGTGTGCTGACATAAATAGGTAGCATTAATATTTAGTGTTTTTTAAGGAACGTAACCCCTTGGTTATTCACTGCATAGATATGTATTAAAACAACAGAGATAACAGACATGCAAACACACAGCGTCACATTCTCACTCAAACACACTCATACACAATCTTTTTCTCATTTAGAATTTACTAGTGTGGAAAACTGTAAATAGGGGTAACTGGGTTTAGGATAGGGTTTTTATCTAGCTCTTCAATATTTGTTTTCATAACGAAGGATTTAAAAAGATGATCAATTATTTAAGAGAAGGCACCAATTATTAAACAAATCTTAAAGAGATTCCATCGCTGGTCAATTTTAGAAGAATATCCAGGACATTTTTAATGACCTGAAAGGTACTATAGTACTAAGTAATAAACACTGGAACATAGGTATCTGCAGTATCTGATAAAAACTGCTTTTACATTTATAAGGTCTTATAAGACAAGTGTTGTACGCATTGAATGAATGTTCAGGGTTTTGTGGTGAATAGTACCAATTATTCAATTCCTCCTTCACAGAAATCCATGGATGTCTGGGAGTGACACATTGTGAAATTACCTACCTGAAATACTTGCTTTGGATTAGAATGCCAATATTGATACACAAATCATCTGACACATTATTTGACAGTGAGCAGTAAGCAGTACCTCACAGAAGTATGCGCTCTCAATTACACACCCTCTCAAAAAATTCTGCAATTACTGTTCCTTTTTATGTGCTTAACATCAGACACTCTGTGCAAGACACATTCATTCACACACAAATTCACGCACAGACTTTAGAAAGAAATTAAAAAAAAAAAAAAACTCAAAGTCCTAATCTTCACATTCTTTGAAACAAATTCAAGAAAGGCAAAATAAAACTATTTCACAATAACTCATTCCATTGAAAACTTACAATAACTTAGGGGGAAAAAAACAATTAAAATGGAAATAATATCCCACTGTTGCTAAAAATTGAAGATAACAAAAACTAGCCATACTCATAAAGTTTCATATAACCACCAGCATCTCTTGAGGTTATTTATATTGTACTTTGTGGAGGAAGAAAGACATATCAAGCTTGTGCCCCTGTACAGCATGACTTAGTGTCAATAAGAACCTTAAATCAAACAAAACCCAAAGCAGAAAAACTCAAATTAGCCTATCAGAGTAATAGCAGCTATGTACCTCTCTGACTCCCTCTGCTGGACAGCACAGTGTGTTCTGGAATGTTTTCATATCTAAGCCACTTTATGGTTCACTTCTTTGATCCTTACTGCTTCATGTCTTATTCTCGTACACTTTTTCCACTCCAATACACACACTAATAGCAGGACAGCAATGGGGTTTTTCTGAGACAGAAACACTAGTAAAGACATACCCCACTTAACTTTGTTTCTGTACATTCGGTCTCCCCTTGGGGAGGTTAACACAATTAGTTTCACAACGTGTTAACTTGTACAGGAAACATAAAAGTCTAGTGCTTACACCGGTCTACATCATATCATCTAAAGACACAGGATTTTTTGAGGCAGTTGTGCTCTTTAGCAGTAACTACGGGTCTGGCCTTCAGTTTGGATGGTCCAGTTGGGGCCCGGCAGGCTTCCCTGCCGGTTTAAGCCTCTCTGGTTTCGTAACCCCGGAGGTCGGAGAGAAGGATCCAGGACAATATCTCGTCGTGGTGTGTTGGGATACTGGGGAAGCACTGGCCCTGACTGGTACGGGTACTGGTTATATTGGTTGGCCACATTCTGGGGCCCATATCCTCTTGTCGATCCAAGCGCTAAGTTGGAGAAGGCCACTGTAGGTGGAGTGCATGTGTGGGAAGAGTCTGGGAGGCCTTGTGGGCCCCAATTGGGGTATGGGGGGTCCTGATAATATGGTCTTGGGGGATAAGGATTAGGGGTTGTGCTTTCTCCCTGGGCACCTGGGATAAAGTCTTGGCTTCTGTAAAACTTAAGTACTTGGTCGCCAGATGGCATGACGTCAAAAGCTTGTCTATATTGGCCTCCGGAAGATCTCCGCAAGGGGTCTTGACGTTGGAAAGGTCCTGATCCCTCTCTAGGTGGCACCTGACTTTCACTGTGCCCTCGAGAGGGTCCTGGAGTGTAGATATTGTACGCAGGTGGAGGCTGCTGCTGCTGGCTAGGGTAGGGATTTGGAGGGTGCTCGATGTGCGGAGAAGAGGACAAAGAAGACAGCACAGAAGGACCCTCCCTTTCATCCTCTGCAAGCTTTTCAATTAGCAAGGAGGCAATTTCCTTCCCAGTCAAGACTTGAGCAGGCTCTGAGCTGGTACTTTGGGGATCTGAGCGACTGCGGAAATGCATGGCATTGAAGGCAGATGCTGCTATATTGATCACTTTGGAATCTGAGGACACATCATTCTGGGAAGGGTTGTCAAAGTTAGCTGTGGGACTTTCTTGCTCTGAATGCTTCTGTTTGTCATCCGGTGGTGACATCTCAGATGCTTGATGATCATTTTCGTCAAGGTCTGTGGTAGCCCAGCCCTTTGAATTAAACCCTGATCCTGGTGGGTTTGGGAAAGGGTAGTTGACGTAGATGTGCTCAGGCTGATCTTTTGTGATTCCTTGCACCGGTGAGGCCTGAGATGGCTTTGAAACAGCATGCTGATGCTGATTCAGTGGCGAGTCTTCCAGTCTGGAAGCCTCAAAGTACCGGTAACACACCTTCCCGTTTTCAAAATAGGGGTGAAGCTGGGAGGCAGTGTGGTCTGCTGAAGGGGAACGCTGGGGGCGAATCAAGCTACGTTGGTGCACAGACAGAGGCACCATGCCAGCAGAGGAACCCACTCCAACAGATGCGGATATAGGATGCACTTCACTGCGGGACAACCTGACAGATGATGATGTCTCACGCTGGGGACGGGGGTTAGGAGGATGTCCTGATGATCCATCCTGAGAGTGATGGTGAGAATGAGAATGAGAAAATGAGAAAGAATGAGAGTGTGCTGCGGCCCAAGCTCGTGTGGCCTCAGATGACCACAGCTGGGGAGTCCTACAGCCCCCAGGTCCTTGGGGGTTGTAGGGAGGAGGGTAACCCCTGGAAATAGGCCTTTGATTGGCTGGATCAGTAAGACGAAGGTTTCCTTCCAGATCCAGCTTCATATTTTGATAGCTGTGGCGTGCATAGCTGGGTGGCACTTGTGGATGCTCAGGTGCACCAATTTCGTAGTAGAAGTTCTCCATCTTGGAAGGGTCTTCAGAGGAGGGGACAACTGGTCTGATTGGTGTGGACTGGGCCTGTTGCTGTTGCTGGGGAAGGTGTGCAACCTGGGCAGCTTGGTTGGCCATCCTGGCTGCATGATAGCGAGACAGCATGTCAGAGGTACTGTTGATACGCTCAGAGAAAGCTCTGGAAAGTGGTGTGTTCCCTTGTGGTGGACCTGCCAAACGTCGAATGCGAGTGGCATCCAAGGAGCGACGCATGTAATCATGCCGGTCAGTCTGAGAGAGTGGAGCCCTCAACGGAGCAAGATCAGGGGGCTTGGGCGGCACTTTTGGGCGAGTGGGCTGGAAGGCTCGTACCTGGGCCAGTGGAGAGCTCTCTGATTTAGAATGCAGAAGCTGAGTGTGTGGTTGGGCTGCAGGCTTGGACTGGCTGCTGGATTTCTCCTGCTGAAGCTGTGGAGCAGAAAACTGCCGCCCATATGCTGGGGGTTTTCTCTGAGAAGGGACGGCTTCGGTGGAAGAGGGTGGGCTGGATTTTGAGGGCTGTGCTGGAGAAGTTGGTTCTTCATTCTTGTAAATGGGGCTTGGTGTTCGCTCATTGTCTTCAGAGGAACTGGCAGCTGACAACTCAGAATTGGATGTCCCAGAGTCAGAGACTGAGCTGTCAGAAGAGAGAGTCCCAGTGTCCTGCCCAGGTGGTGACCTTGGTTCTGTACCATATGATTTGTCTGCACGCTTTTCAGTGGCAGTTTCACCATCATCATCATCACCCTCAGTCTTCCATACAGACAAGGGGCGCACCGTGGAGTAGATCTGATTAGGATCAGAAGACAGCAGAGCACCCGCATCAGCAGAAAGGGACCTCTGGAAGCGGACGTCTGTCTCATGAGAGGTTCCACTCTGACGGGG